AAAAATAGAATCCATGAACTCAAATGTTCTTTAAAGGATGAACAAAAGTGACAAACCATTAGAATCAGAGAAAAAGTTAGAAGACTTGCATTACAAAATTTTAAGAAAATATTAGCAGGGAACACTACAAACAAGTATACCAAAAAATAACTTAACCTAGATGACATGGAAAAATGCCCTGAAAGAAACTAACGACACTCAGTAATGAAAAATTAGAAACAATGAAATGTCCCATAGTAGTAAAAGAGGTTTTCTATGGAAATTTCTCCAAAGAAGATACACAACTGAAAAATGCTGAATACCATTAGTCATTAAAACATGCAAATCAAGACCAAAATTAATTACGATATCATACCTACTAAAATGACTGTATTTTTGGTAAAAATGGAAAATGGTGCAGCCACTTTAAAACAGACTGGAAATTTCTTAAAATGTCATTTGAACGCCACCCTGGTGGCATAAGGGGTTAAGCACTGCACTATGAAGCAATCCGTAGCCTCTGCAGCAGGAGTTCGATCCCTGGCCAGGGAGCAACCCACATGATGCAACAGATTTCTCCTGACTTGCTCGCTGCTCCCCTCAGCAGTGTACTTCAGTCAGTCTGCCTGTTCTGTTCCCCTCTCTGTCATTGGTGAATCCTCTCACCCCCCCCACACACCTCTGGCCTGTACCCCAGCTCTTGTATGCATAAATAAATAAATCTTAAAAAAAGTTGTCATTTGACCTAACAATTCTATTCCAAGATACATAACCAAAAGAAATGAAAATGTGTGTCCACACAAAATACGTGTACACAAATATTTATTGCAGCATCATTCATAATGGCCAAAAAGTGGGAGCAACTCAAATACCATCGATGAATAGATAAGGAAAATGCAGCATAGTCATGCAATGGAATATTACAGAACAGTAACAGCAAATGGAGAAATGATACAATGTGGATGAATCTTTAGAACATGCTAAGTGTAAGAAGCAAGTCACAAAAGATTGTATTGTATGATTCCATTTATATTAAAGGTCCATAAAGAGCAAATCTTTAGAGACAGAAAAGGAACTCCTGTTGCCAGGGTCTGGAAGGAAGAGGAAATAGGAAGTCACTATAATGAGAATGGGGTTTCTTTTGGGGGTAATAAATATGTTCTAAAATTAGCTTATGGTAAAAATAAATAAATAAAATTAGTTTATGGTAATAGATGTGAACATGCAAAGTGGGTGAATTGTATGGTATGTTAATTAATTATCAATAAATCTGTTTAAAATAACCCAATTAAATTACAGCCAGGCTATAATATAAGTATTATATGACCTTGTTAATTTTAGAATAGTGGGAGACTATTTGGGGGGATGTGGGAAGATCTAAACCCAGGTATGAATTCTGGCTTTGCTACTTTATACCTGTACTGCTTCCCTCAGCAGTGTATTTCGTCAGTCTGCCTGTTCTGTTCCCTGCTCTGGCTCTGGTGAATCTTCTCACCCTCCCGCACCTCTGACTGTACCCAGTTCTTATATAAATAAATAAATAAATATTAAAAAAAAAAAACTAAACCCAAGGATACACTAGAAATCTGACTGCAGAATTGAGGCTACCAGAAGGGAAGACGGGGATGGTGAGTAAAAGGGGAAGGGAACCCAATGGACTGTGGTGGAGGATTATGGGTGCTTTTGGTGGTCGGTGTGGTGTGGTAACATATATCTGAACAGGTGTGAACCTATTCCACAAAATCAGACAGTGTTGTAAACCAATATTACCTCAATAAAAAGGATAAAATAAAAAATAAGTTATTTCCAAAAAGATCTCTTGTTTACTCATCTATATTTATTTTGCAATCATTTATTAATACTGTCATTATCTTCATGATCTCATGTACCCATATGTATGTTTATACACTTCAAAAGTCATTCCTCTCTTTGAAGTACTTTCTCATCTATAGCAATTTACATTCTGATTTATCATTTTACAATTGATGTATCATTTTACAGTTCTTTTTTTCCTATATTTCTTTTCTATTTGACAATAAGTTGCTTAGGGGCAAGGATAATATACTGATCATCATTATATCCCCATCACCTAGCTCTGTGACTTATACATAAGGCCGTGTGCTGGAATTGAGTTGAATCAATCTATCTAATGTCAACCTTCAGTCTTATAACATGGTTAGTCATTGGTGATGAATCTACACTATGGAGTCAGACTTACTTAGGATGGAATCATGATATTTCCACCTACTCGATGAGTAATCTTGAGTAAGTTTACTTAATTTTCTGAAGTATAAGTTTCCTCTCCTACAACATATATAATAAATAGCAGGGTCATTGGGAAGAATAAATGAGATGATGTATATGAAATGACCTGGCACATAGCATGCCTTAATACATGTTCTGATTTTATTTGAACTATTAGTGTTAGTTACAAATGTCAAAAAAGTGAGGAGAGGATGAAGACATTTGCAGAATACCCTGTCTACATCTTTTTGTATCACGAATGAAGATGAGAACACAAATTTTACTCAAGAACATTTTCACGCACAACATTGATTTTCTTAGTCTTTGACCCATTTGTATATTGGAAGCAAGTTATTTTCCTGTGAAACTTGTCACCTTGCTAGTATTGGTTTGTGGACTCCTGTAAACTTAACAGTTAAGGCAAGAAAAGGAAAGATTGTAAGCAAAAAAGATACACCACTATAGCTAGCTCTACTAGGTTTGCATGTTAGCAGCAATTTTTGAATATGTTCTGTTGTACGTGGGGCTTTAATGAAGGTTAATATTTGTGTCTTACAGATAAAGTTCTAGTTAGGTATAGCCTCAGTGAAAGTTTTCTTTTGCTCCTGCCCTCATGAATGATAACTAGGAGTTGAGGGAAGACTATACTTTTAAGCTTTTTTTTTTTTTCCCCAGATTCTGATGACTGGGCTAAGCATGATAACCAGAGCCATGGTAGAAAGTGGCAGGGAGAAAATAGAGTAACTGAAACTGCTGAATGTGTAGTGAGATAGTCTTGTTCTTGGTATCAAATAGTTATGGACTTCTCTCTGAGCTGACTTTCATTTAATATAATAATGTAAAAGCAAATTTGTTTCACAGAATAGTTTTGAAGTGCTGAAATCAACAAACACAGCAAACAGGTTACCATTTTGCTTTTCTTTTCTTTCCTTTCTTAATAAAGAAGTACTTGTAAAATACTGTGGCACTCTGTCTTCTCTGCACTGGGAGCAGTTCTTTGGTACCATCTCCTCATTCTCTGAAAATATATCCCTACACCACGTTTGTCTCCATCTCCTCCTTGATCAGGAACACCTTTCAGCTTCTGAGTAGATCACTGTCTACTCTGTTGCTGAAATAATCGGGCACTGACAGATGAGAGCTTTTGCAGCTTGGCAGCCCTTCATCTGCTGACCTCACTTATTCCTAGCCACAGTTTTCAAACCAGTGCCCTTCCAAGGGACATTGACACCACAGCCAAGTTCATTGGGACTGGAGCTGCCATAGTAGGGGTGGCTGGTTCTGGGGCTGGGATTGGGAGTGTGTTTTTTAGCCTCATCATTGGTATGCCAGGAAACCTTCTCTGAAGTACAGTTCTCCTATGACATACTGGGCTTTGCCCTCTAGGAGGCCTTGGGGCTCTTTTGCATGATGGTGGCTTTTCTCATCCCATGCACCATGTGAAGAAGCCGTCTCTGCCTCCCATTCTTTCTTGCATGTCTCCTCTGCTTTGTGCTTTTCCCTGTACCTCACAGGCAGCCTGGGGAATGTGGTTGGCTCAGTGTTTGACAGGGAAGACAAATACCATATTTTTAAGATATATATATATGCATATAATATATTTTATATCTATAGTATATATTATATAACACATATAAATGGCATCTTTCCTGTGGATGAGAGTGAATATTGTTTACCTGAGACAGATTAACTAAGAACATCACTTAAATTTTGCTTAATGCTTAGACATGGCATGTAGGTCAGAAAAAAAAAAAAGTTGATCTTTGGGTAGTAAGAACCATATTCCATTTGTTTAAACTTAATTTAATTAGAATGGAGAATGAGAATTTCTATTCCATTAAAGGTTTACGATTTACTTTCTAGCCTATCTTCTTGAAATATACCTGGAAAGACTCAGGTGCAGAACTTCTTAGAGCTAGGCACTTAGACAATGTGATCTCTGAATTTCCATCCTAGACCAAAAAAACCTATGAGTATTTTAATGGCCAGTTGTTGAAATGGTAGCCTGAGAAATGTCTAGCATCACTGTGAATCATTTTTTTTCAACAACAGCATGGGGATTTGGCTACTTCTGCTACTACTTTATGTTTTAGAATGGTGGGGAGAATATTTTGTGACTTATAGATACACCTAAGAAAAATGAGAGAATGGAAAAATACAGTTGAAGAAGACTAGTATGATAATACTAATCATGGTCCCTTACTTATGTATTCATTTCAGATGCTTTTTAATCCATTGGGCAGATTTATATTGCCACTTACAACAGTAGTAGCTCCTTAGATGGTTTACATTATCCTTATTTTCCAGATGATGTTGAGGCTCAGAAAACAAGAGCAAAGCACATAAAACTGCCTTGATATTTGGTCACTTTGATCATAGACCTCCCTTTGGGTAAGGTAAGATCATAGGTTTAGGTTCATTTAATTGCTCTGAATTTGTTACTTGACCACTACCTTATGATAGATACCTTAACTTCAAGTTTCTGTCTTTGCCCTTCCTTATGTAGACTTAGCATGTGAGATTGGCTGATCTCAGATAACTTTTATAATCACTTAACAGAACCCCAAAATGCTCTGTCTCTGTCCACATGACAGGAAATCTTGCAAACATCATCCCTAGAAGAATTTCGAGGAATATTTTACTTCACACTGACTCCATTAAGCAATGAATAATAGTAATTTACATATGTAGTATACTCCTAAAAACCTCAAACTTCTACCTTCCTATTTCTGCCAACCACTGACATTTGTTGCATTGTTTCTCTTTTGTCTTTTCAGTTTGGAGACTGCCAGGGACCATGTTCTTCCTATTGACTACTACTTTCCACCTCAGAAAACCTGCCTGATTTGTGGGGATGAAGCTTCTGGCTGTCACTATGGAGCTCTCACTTGTGGAAGTTGCAAAGTCTTCTTTAAAAGAGCAGCTGAAGGTAAAGATTCAACTTCTGGTTTTCTTTCTTCTTTAATCTCCAGAGAGATACATCAGTCTTCTAAAGCCCAGAATTTTGACATATCAGGGACATGTTCACATGAAAATGCCCTCTCAAAGAACCTAAGAGCCTAAAGAAGGAAGTTTCCATGCTGGCTCGACCCATGCCTTAAGCAATATTCTTGTACAGGCAACACAGACAATGAAGGTGGTCCCAGCTGGTGCTTGGAGCTTGGCCAATCTTAGGAATGAAAGAAAAATTATTAATGATTTATAAAGATTTAATTTCCTTCTTGTTGTGTTCCACTCTGCTGCCTAGTGAGGAAAAAACTTCCCTTATTACAGAGGTTTATAGTGGGTAAATCCCAACTAAGTCCTCAGTCTGTAATCTTTAGTAAATATAAGACTATTCATTAGTGAAGTATTCCTGGCCTCTGCCCCAAAAAAGAAGAGTTCTGGCTATTCGGCAGACCATTAGTCTATGCACCTGCTCCCTCCTGTTGCTGCTTTCTTGGGACATCTTTGCATTAATAGCTGCTAGGTAGATGAGGACCCAAAGTGATGAAACACTTTTATACTCCTTTCCAGAGGCAAGTCCTTATGACTCATCTTTTGGATCAGAACCATAAGCTAAAATGTAGCTTATACTTTGATAAGTGTGCTCAAGAACAACTCAGGTTTCCTCAGCACCTCTCTCCTGAAGGGCTCAGCTTACATCCTGAAGCGGCACTCCCTTTTCCAGACCCCATATATATATACTATTGCTTTTTTCCTTTGAAGACAGAACCATTGAATTAAGTCTCTTATTCATCCACTTCACTCCCTACACTGTACTAAGAGCTTCAAGATGCTCTGCTCTGCTGGCAGACCCAGTTGCCACCCCTGCCCCCACTTTCCACTAAGTAAGTACTTCCTTTAACAAGTTTTCTCCTTCCATTTCACTGGTTTAGAGATGTTGAGTTCCAAATCAGAAACCAATCAGACTTTATGTTATTTTCACAGACCCTGAGGACAGTCTTAAAGGTGTCAGGCTTTTACCAGGAATGTGATAATACCCAGAGAGGGAATGGCAGAGGCACTACAGCATTCTCAGCAACTTGCAAAAGGAAAACATGTCTGTCCTTTGATTGGTCTCTTCACTGATACCTAACTATAATTGTGATTTTTTTTCCATCATTTTGGCCAGATGGTAGGAAACCTATGAAACAGAAAACTGCTATTTCATTTTCTTCTTCTTCCCAAAGCAACAGGGAATACCCAGTATTTAGTACTACTGAAAACATGTTGAATATTCCACCTATACCACTGAATGGCTCATTGCTACTCTTATGTTTGGCTACTATGAGGTCCACAACCCCAAGTTTAGGCCTAGGAAGTTTGGAAAAAGACCCAGAGAACAGTGACTTATTTTCTTAAGAGTACTAAAGGAGAATAGTTTAGGAAATTATATTAGGAACAGTTACAAGGACTTCAGATCATCCTAACTTCCCCAATGAGAAACTGTTTTCCCCATACCTCATCATCCATTAGGTCCCACCTGTCGAACAAAGAATGAACCAGAGCATTAATTTAAAAGTACCATTGTGTCAGCAAGCCCAGGCACCATAGCAGTAGCAGCCGTATCAGATGGGACAAAGAGTCTGAGTAAACAAGCTTACAAGCAAATTTAAGAGATTATATTGTATTGGATGTTGTCTCTGGGTTTTATAAATCTCTGTCACAAAATTCTTGTTTTCAGAAACCAAGGAAAATGATCAATAGTACTGTATAAAGGAAGATTATTTGTGGTCATTACATATTCCACATGGAGACTTTCTGTAGAAGTTAGAACTGAAGGAGGAAGGTGGGTTGAAGGGGAATTTCGTGAGATTGTCTGGGAGGAGTGCTACTTTGATGTGTGTCTTTGGCTATTTGAGAACAAGGAAGAGAGGAGATCAGGAAGGTTAATCACTCATCTTATAGAACGACAAGATCTCAAATTACTCCAGATCCTAGTATCACTTAAGTTAAGGAAACTTGGTTCTGTGCTATTTCCTTTGGAAAAAAAAAAAAAAAAAAAAAAACCATGAGCATCAATGAACTCAAGGACCAAGTGTTCTTGACTGTTTAAAACAGGAAAAATTACCATTGAATTTCTTGCAAAGCCTCTTGGTTCCTTTGCAATATGGACCTCAAGTTCCAATTCTGACCCATTTGAAGGACAGTGGAAGGTGGATTTAAAATAAAAGAACAAAAAATTTACTGGTGTGTTCTTTCCTCCATCTGTAAATCTTGGTGGTTGGAGTTTACTGCCATTATTATCTTTATTTACAGGTGGGGGAATGTCTTATTACCCATAGAGAACATTTAGTGATTTTTTTTTCAATTTTTACAATGTGTATTTATCATCTAAATGTTGATTCTGAATCTGCCTTGTCAAAACCGAGAATTCTACCTGTATTGGAGATACAGGTTTCTCATTGTTTGTCATTGCCAGTCAACTAAGACTGAGTATTCAGAGTGTTGATTACCACTTTATTCATGGTTTCTGAAATCTCTGGACTGGGCACAGGTACAAGATCTAAAAGCCTGGCACGTCAGACAGAAATCCACTTCTAGTTTTGGTAGATCATAAAGCATGAGATTTAAATGCTGACAGTGGTTCAGCACTCAGCACTGACAGTGGCTAAATTGTAATCTAGCGAGTTTTTTCTATTGAGGAAGAAGAAGAGAGAGCCCGGCATACTGGAAGGTTGGTGTGAGAGTGAAGCTAGTGAAGGAAGGAACTGCAGATTTTGAGATAAAAGATAATGGGGCCAAATCACTAAAATCAGTTTGATGAAAACTTTGTGAAAGTGTGTTTGTGTGTGTATGTGTGAATACAGTTGAGGGCATGATCTGTGGGTTAGAAACAGACATGAGATTGTTGGGTGGGCTAAGGAAGGACGTGACAGGAAGGCATGTTGAATACTAACGGGTCAGAAAGTCAAAGTAAGGTGATGGCCATAAGCAGGGGTAGGGACTCAAAGGAGTTTTTATTGTTAGTCTTGGATAAGAAATTTACCCCTTTAGAACTCAGTTTTCCCTGTCTGTAAAACATGGCAGTTAAACCAGATAATTTGAAAGTACCCTTATAGCTTACCACATTTTGTAACAATTCTACAAATTACTAATAGCATTGCTACTTTTTCAGCAAACATGCACATCTTGATCTGTATGCACTTATGGTTTTGCCTTCATACAAGGTGATGAATCATAGCTCCCATTCTCTTAAAAATCAGTGTTCAGCTGAGAGAATGCACTGTGGATGGCCTGGGTTAAAACTCAAGACTCTCCCTTCGGTATTGTCACCACAGCTGGATAACTTCCTTTTTTTCCCTTTTTCTGGTCAGGATAATCAGGATATGAATCCATTCCCATCTCTATCTCATCATGTTTCAAAGAGGGTTAATTAATTCATCATGGGCGTTATGTACTCAAGAATTTACTATTTTCCAGACATTTTCTAGTAAAACATTGGAGATTGTACATCCATTTGTTTTGTACACATGGAGCGCTGTTTGGTACACATCATAAAATTGAAACTATAGTTTACATTCTGAACTCAAAGAATTACACCATTCTCACTGGATGTTTACAATATGTCCCAAGTTAGTATTCTTGGCAAGTTTTATATAAGTATGGCTTTGATTCTCTCTCTTGCCTCAGGTTTTTGTGAGGGAAGAAATGTAAGTGAACCCTCACTGAACTCTTTGTCCTTTAAATCCAGTCTTTCCCACCTCAGCTCATGTGGAACTGAATGTTACTTCTTGTTTGGAAACTTTCAGAGTTTTTGGTGCATATCAGTGTACTCTTCACTCCCTGACTTTTTGAGTAACATTTCCCATGGGCAAGTTAACTATGCTAGGAGGATCTGCTAACAGTTTCAACAGTCTTGCTCAGGTATCTTTTGCCAAGGTGTTAACCTGACTGCATGTTTCCTAGAGACATTTTCACAAAGCTCCTCTTGTCTTATTATCTGTCTCTAGTTTTCTTAACTGTCATAGCCGATATTACATCAGGTGTTGGCGAACATTTTATGTAAAATCTCAAGTAGTAAATATTTTAGGTTTTCTTGACCACTCAACCCTGCATTTGTAGCATGAAAGCAGCCCTAGAAAATACATAAATTAATGGGTGTGGCTGTGTACCATTAAAAATAAGTGGGGGTTGAAATTTGAATTTCATTTAGCTATCATATAATACTGAATACTATTTTCATTTCTTTCAACCATTTAAAATCTAAAAATCATTCTTAGTTCTTGAGCCCCCCACACATACACAAACAAACAAGTGGCACAGTGGACTTGATTCATGTACTGTAATTTGTTAACACCTGCTTTACCTGGTTGCTCTTGTGCTTGCAAATCTGCATAGTAAATTTCACTCTCTCAGGTCTTCCCATAAATTAGTAAATCTCCAAATTATCTAATTTTAAACATTCTTCTGAATTGGCCTGTCAACTTGCATGCCTTGCTTGTCTACAATGCCTGATCCGATAGCATCTCATTTTTTGCTTTTTCTGTTAAACAAGAGAAAAATAAGTATACCTACAAGTCCTAGAAGAGTATATTTTTTTAAAATAAATTTTATTTTTATATTCCCCACACAATTGCAACCCCCTTATTTTGACCCCAATCACTCCTCTCCCCACCCCCAACCCCCCATAGAGTGTCTCTGGTTCATAGTTTTTTGTTGATTTTGATTTTCACTTTCTTATAGTTATTCATTTTCCTGGTCCCTTATTTAAGTTTTCTAGATTCCTGCTATGAGTGAGACCATCTGGTATTTTTCTTTTTCTTTCTGGCTTATTTTGCTGAGCATGATCCCTTCCAGCTCCTTCCATATTGCTGCAAATTGCATGTTTTTATCTTTTTTGAATGCTGAGTAATATTCCATGGTGTATATGTACCACATTCTTTATCCAGTCATCTATTTTTGGGCATTTGGTGTTTCCAAAGCTTAGCTATTGTAAACAGTGCT